GGTAGAGATGAACATCTTCGTCTGGGCCAAATTCCCAACTTCCCGAAGCAATGACATAGTCATCCCCGGCTCCCTTGTTGGAGTCCGGGAGGTCGGCTACAATTTTGAATTCAGTAGACCTCGGCTTGAGGTAGTAGATGTAACCTCTTTCCTTCAGGTTAAGGGGGCACATGGTGTAACAATACTGTACATCGGCAAGGGTGATCCTAACATTCTCCTGCCTAGCTAGGGCTATGATACCATTAATCACTCGATAGGAGTTGATGGCAAGTTGCATAGGGTTCAACTTGTAAAAGTGAAGAATTTCGCGAAAAAGAATGTTAAGTGGGAACTGGAGTCCGCACTCAGTAAAAGCTACTATGGGAAAGGGCATTGAAACATCTGTGGGCATGATAGAGTCATTATCTTCTCTTCAGCTAGCCTCAGATGGACATCGGCAGGAATAGAGAACTCCCGCCTAAAGTACTCAAGTTTGGTCGGGGTATCTACCCTATGTCTCCACATACCCATAACGTCGGCCTGAAATCAGAGGGCTAGATTTCAGAAAGAAGGTGTTGTCAAGGGGTTATTGGGACCTCGGCAAAACCCTAGGTAAGGACTGATAAGGCTTGTTTCAGTTTTTTCCTAAAAATTGAAGGCTCTACAGACAAAACCCAAACCTAAATCTATGAAGGCAAAGATTGAAAGCAAGAATTAAAAGCAGAGATCTGGAAAGGAAAAACAAAAAACAAAGAACGACGTTTCAGAATCAAAGAACAGAGGTATGGTTCTTAAAAAGCAAAGGAAATACAGAAGAAAAAGGTCAAGAACAGTGGCAAGAAAAGTGTTGAAACAGTGCAAGTGTTCAAGATATGGGTAAAAATCATAAATAGACACATCCAGATAGATAGTTCAGTAAATCAAAGGTTTGAAATAGAGCAGTAATGGCAGTACGTAAAACGAAAGCACATAGAAGAAATTGGGAATGAGAGGAGCGAAGGCTTACCAAAACAAAAGACGCCGGAATAACAGTCGCCGAGGTAAAGCAGCGGTTGCAGACACAACGGAACGACGAAAGCTTCAATGAAGGAATGAAGACGATTGCAGAGCTTCGAGCAAGATCAATGGCGGATTTGAGAAAGTTTAGAGAGAGCCAAAAAGCCGAATACAAAAGTAAAGAAGTGAAGATGAAAAGAAAAGTTTTGTAAAAAACTTGAAACGGCGACAATAACACGGCATTTATTACGCCTGGAGGAACGCGTGCGTCAGACGGCGCAGACGGATGAAAGACGATTTACAGGCGCGTCGCGGACACGGGCCAATAAGGATGTAACACGTGAATAAAACGGTTGAAAAGTGATGTATGACAGCTCATACGCATAAAGGGATTCATTTGAAGTTCTTATTCTCCGATGAAGACATGTGGGCCTAACGTGAATGATCTCGGCCAAAGAGCTCTTACGCCGAGGTAATAGAAGAAAATACAGATATAGGTTCCATCACCTCAGAATGCCAAGGTAATAGAACCTAGGGGGCAGTTGTGGGGATATATTTTCTAAGTACCAACACGTGGCATGGTGACGCCATCGTGTCAGCCGAGGTGCCACGTGTCGTGGTAGCTGTGCCGAGGTTATCTTGGCAATGCCGAGGTTATCTCCAAAGATATCAGAATCCGAGATAAACGGATAGGGGATAAGAGTTCTAGAGAAAAGATAAGACTTTGCTAAGATAAGGATAAAGCTCTAAGGGAGTTTATCTTTATCTCTTGAGGAATCCAAAGTAAGTACTAAATTGGAATCCATAGAAGTCACGCTTCTAGTAAGACTTGGATTGAGTAAACTATAAAAGAGAGGCACCCCCGTGGGTCTAAGGTACGCAGTTATATACTCAAGCTTGTGAGTTTAGCACTTAATTATCTTTGAGAGATATACTGACTTGATCGTCGGAGTGCTCCCGGGTGGAAGAGCCACCGCCAGAGCCCTTTCTTTTTGTTACAGGTTTGCTGAAGCCATCTATTTTGCCAGTGCTCTCTAGCTGATTACTAGACGGACAGTGTGGTCAGAAAATTACTCACACAAAAAACAATATACATTTTATTTTCCAACCCTTCGCGTCCCTCATTCTCTCCCTTTCACCACCCTCACTTAAAGTTGTTCAAATTCTTAAATGACCTTTTACCCATCAAACTAGGCTACTAATGTGGACAACCTGAAATCAGAAAACCTAACAACTAAAATAGATGAAATCAACAGTTGAGGAATAAAATTTAAAAATAAAAAATGACAATAATTGAGGTGATCAAAGTGAAATTAAGCTTTATCAACTCAAAGCACATTGCACATTTAACCATTTTTATCAAATTTTGAAGCTCAATACATCAGAAATCATAGAACCACCTGAACAACGCCGGCGAAGGATTGACGCCAGCCGTTGGCAAGCGAAAGAGGAACGATGGCCACCGACATAACAACTCGGTCCGCGTTACAAAGCGACAACGCCAAAGCCAGCATCGCCACCACTTTAACTCTCTCCGAAGTAATAAACTCCAAACAACTCGGCTCGCGCAGCGCTTCTTCATCTTCGTACGAAAACCAGCCGCTCGCGAATCGCCGAACATCTCTCGAAGAATTCCCAACTCTGATCGGTTTGAGAGTGCGAATTTTACATGCGTCGAGTGGAAATGCGATTCGCGAAGTGGTGCGAGAAGAGAATCGATCGACGCATGTCCTCTGGTATGGTGATTGTGAGAGAGTGGTGAGAGATTCTTGGGTTTTGATGATGATGGGTTTAGGGTTTTGAGAGGTCCAGTAGGAACTACAACGAACCGATCGATCGAGAGGGAGTGCCCAATTCATGGTGAGTGGAATGGAATAGCCACGGATGGTAGAGAGTGACTTGTGTCGTCGCATATCATTTTACAAAGGAAAACTATTATGTAGTATTTTGAAAGAGATTTTTATTGATAAATTTATTCTAGAGTTGTTATAATTTATTAGGTCCACTAAAGTATATTATAACCTAATTAGTCCCATAAACTTTTCTAGATATTTCATAAAGTCCATTTTTCTAATTTAATATAATTTTTTGGACTATTTTGCCCCTGTATATATATATGTACAGTGTTAATACGTAATAGGTGCCTGTTTCTATATATATTTAATTTATAAATTATTGAAAAAATTCAGAAAATGAAAAGTTAAAAATAATAGTTGCCAAGATATGAGGAATCAAAATTAATCGGATTAAGATCCATTTCATTCCTGGTTGTAATAAAAGATGTCCATTATATTATCTAAAGATTGTGAAATAATTATGAGAATTTATTAATATTTCAAGGGTAAATTATACTGACGCCTCTTGAGATTTAGGTTTATTACAATTTTCTCTCTCATATTTTGGAAATTACATCCCCTGAGGTTTAAAGTTTCATTACAGATTCTCCTTTAGCAATTTATTTTTGAGTGCTACTATTAGCACCTGTCAAAATTCTTTAGATCCCCTATTTTATAATTTTTTTTAGGGCAAATTACATATACACCCCTCGAGGTTTGGCTAAATTACAGATACCCCCCTGAGGTTTCGGAAATTACATCCCGCCCCCTGAGGTTTGTATTTTCATAACAATTTGCCCCCTGAGGTTTATATTTCATAACAAATAACCCCCTAATTTCTTATGCAAATATAGTATTCAGGGGGGAATTCGTAATTTCTCAAACCTCAGGGGGGCATCTGTAATTTGGCCAAACCTCGAGGGGTGTATATGTAATTTGCCCTTTTTTTTATTATAATTATACCCTAAAGTAAAATTACATTAAAAGACATTATTAAATGGAACATTCACCTATTAATAAGAACTAATACTCTATAATATTGGACACCCACCCCCACCCCCAACTCTAACTATACGTATTCCATGTTTTTAAACCCTAAACTTATTACTTTTGATAACCAACTAATATAAATCCTAAATCTATTATTTTTTATAATCGTCTTAAATCTTGAATGTGTCATCTTCATCACCATCATCAACGCTATTGAACTTGAAAGTTTTGCTTCAAGTATAACGTATACTTCATCACTTATTTCACTGTGTAGAGCAATGGAAGACGATGACAACAATTCTAGTGAGACCGGCGTTCCATTAATAAGTTTATCTGTCTTGTATTAACATTTTCGGTCATTTTTCGGTCGTTCTTGTTTCGTTCGAACTGTTCGGTACTGATTTGCTGATTGTTAGAATTATGTTCGGTAATACAGTACCAAACATAATCCTTTCGTTCAATACATAGGTTTTGAACATTAATACAGATAGTCAGTTATGTAATTTTCTTTGTTAAACTAACCTAGAATGGAAAAGAGTGAATTTGAATTGATTTAAGTTATGTATTTTGAATGGATTTAATTCATGTTATTTTAAGTTGTGAATTGGAATGGATTCAAGTTACACAGTGATGAACAAATTTTGTTCGGACATACAGTGTTGACAAGAACATTATTGTTCGACAAAACAGTTTTGAACAAAATACATTTTTTCGGCTACACAGTGGTGAACAAATTATTTTGGGCTATATTCAGAATTCTGATGGCGATACATTCAGAATTCTGATGATGATGGATTATTTTGGAAGCGCTGATACAGAAACAATGGGCATCCAACACCGCCCACTGTACGCTTATCTTGATGATGATGATGATGATGATGAATGTGATTGAATTTTTTTATAGGTTTTGATAATAATGGCACACTAAGAATTCACATATCTGGACTGAAAATTAAACAAGTAGACGATGATGATGAACAGGCCATGGCCATGGCTATTATGTATTCTTTTCTTTCAGTCACTGTGAACAACCCAACATGCAATAACATCCGAGTATCATCTGTTTTCTTCTTTTCTTTTTCATTAGGGTTTTTTTAGAAATTGGATGAAAAATTAGGTGAGTGTGCATTTCATTGTGAAAAATGTTATGAATATGGGTAGATTTGGTAATAAGTGGGGTGTCCAAAAAAATATTATTAAAATTTAGGATTTAGGGTTGGGGTCCAAAAAATTTTGATAGGTGCTATTAGCAGCACTCTTATTTTTTTAAATATCAATTTTGCCCTCATTAGGTAAATTACATTGACACCCCTCACATTATAGAAATTGCAATCCCCTCCCCAAGGTTTAAAGTAGTATTACCAATTGCCCCCTCGGTTAGTATTAGTTGAAAAAAAAAATCATTAAAAAAAAATTAATAGGAAAAAAAATTATTTGGAAAAAAAATTAATTGAAAAAAAATTTTGTTAGTAAAATTTTTAAATTTTTGTTTAAAAATCAACATAAACTCATTTTTTGAATTCACGTTTTTTTCTCAAATTTACAAACTGAGATAACCATTTATAAAGTAAAAAAATTATCAAACAAGTTTTTATAACATTTTTTTAAATTTTTGTAAATATAAATTGAAAATTGAAAACTGAAAACAAAATGGTTACCTAACAGGCTTCAGATAGTAAAAATATCGTAAAATTTACAAATAATTAAATAAGTTACCAACATAAGAAATTACTTATCAAAAGATTCTTAGGCTATGTATGGTTTGATTTTTAGAATTTTTTTAAAAAATCGCTTGTTGGTTTTTTGAACTGAGTGAGCTTTGTCGAGAAACATGATGGTATCGCTGGATTTTCGAGATTGCAGAGGCATGGTTGATGAAGAAGAAGAAGAAGAAGCTATGAAACTATACTCTTAAGCTGAAGAGATGATTTTATAGTATAGTAACGGAAACTTGGGACTGAGGTAGCTTGCTGTGATAGACTTGGAACGCGGAGCATTTGTTTTCTGAGAAAGTTCAATGTAGTTTCCTTTCCTTGGTATAATTAAAGAGTTATTGGCAGTGAAATTGTGTGGAAACAGCTCAAGAATGAGGCGGCAATGTCAGTTTTATAGATAAAATTATCTTTATAGAAATGATCATATTGAGTCGTATCATTGTGAATAAAAAGAAAATTTAGTCACTACAACAAGCTACATTTATGGCGACTAAATTTTTAGTCGTCAAAAGTCATTTTTTCGTCGCTGAAAATTTTTGCTGACTAAATTTTTAGTCGTCAATTTTGTCGTTGGATGATTGTCGGCAAAGGTATTGACGACTAATTTTTTTTGTCGCCGAAAGTCACCAATTGTCCAAAGTTTTCAATAAATGTGGTTTTTTGTTTTAGCAACTAAAATATTTAGTTGCCAAAAACCGTTGTTTTCTTTTTGGCTACCAATTATTTAATCGCTAAAAATGTGGCACTCTTTTTTAGTTACCAATTTTTTAGTTGCTAAATCATGATTCTCCTTTTTAGCTGCTAATTTTTTAGTTGTCAAAAACTTTCATTTTTTTTTTTTTGCTACTTACTGTTTAGTTGCCATCAAAGTTCCTTTTTATTTTTTGGCTACTAAATATTTAGTCGTCAAAAACTTGATTTATTAATTTTTTTAAAATACACAAATTGAATATTTTTCCTTAATTTTTTATTTTATTTATTTATTTATTTATTTGGTGAATAAGTCATAAATTAAAGATGAGATATTTTACACGGCTAGAGGGGTATGCCCTAGGACTTAACAAGAACTATACATAACTAGAGGATAAAAACCTGCCCAAAAACAGCAAGCTAAATCTAAAGAGGACACAAGGGCCCATTGAAAATAAACAACTATTATAGTCCCTAAGATCTATGGGTGCAATTTGGGCAGGTTTAACTCGAGCAATTCGAACCTAGTCTGATTTTTTTTAAGACGTGGACAAGATATTTTTGAATTCGATACGAACTTGGGCAAAAATTTAAAAGTCCGAATTAAATTTAGACAGGCTTGGGTAAAGACGTCAAACAACCCGAGCAATCCGAAGCCTGAATTATACATATATAGATATATAAAAATATTAAATATACATATAAATTATTAGCCATTACATGATATTAAAGTAATTTAGATCATTAAATCATATTGAATATATATTATTATATATACAAATAACATAAAAAAAAAATTTATTTTTATTTTCACTCACAAATTGTAAAGAGTATTATAGCGGCATCTTTCTTACATTATATAAATTATTTGTTTTGGTGGTATTAATGATTTTCTATATAAAAAAATGTAAATAGAGTCAAATTTTAATAATTTAATAATGTAGCTGAAAAAAAAAAGAAAAAAAAAAAGAAAAACCACTGAAATTGATTTACAATTCGGGCAACTTGGACAATTCGAGTTCAACTCGGGTCGGGTTTTGACATACAATCTCATATTACAATTTGGGCCTGGATAGGTTTCAGCACAATTTGAACTAGATTTGGACAACCTTTCAATCCGACCGAACACACATGAGTTGCACCCTACTAAGATCCCTAAAAAAGGCCACCAAAGTACCACAAAAGTACCCACAATAGAAACCCCAAGGAAAGTAAAATCTGGTGGCAGAATAAGATAAACCTGTTCAGGGCCCTCATACTCTGCATATGTGGGCCATGAACACAATCAAAGGAACCAAAAGGGCTGTCGCAAGCACAAATATATTTCCTTGCACATCCCGCAAAGGGCAGGCCCAAAAAAACTCGGTAACAGCGGAGCAAATGTCACAAAGCAATATATACAAATTAATGTAAAAGCCTTGTCATTAATAGAACCTGCCCAATATAAAAAATGGATTAAGTACAACCAAGAAGGAAGCCTGCCTATGTATAGAATGCAAGAAAGTAACCAACACACAATATATGGGCTAACTTCACTCAACCCACAATGTATAGTCTCACAGCCCTCGTAAATTGATTGACCACACACAATAGGTCGCCAAACAGTAAAAAATAATTTTTTTATTTTTCATTTGGTGACTAAATAATTTTAGTAACAAAAACTCAATATACAGCGACTAAAATTCTTTTTTGTCACCAATTCTAGGATTTTTAGCGACTAATTTTTTTTAGTCGCCAATAACTAATATACCCCGACTAAAAAAAATTTGTAGTTAAATATTTTACTTTTGTTGACTAAAAAAATTTTTAGTCTCCAATTCCATAATTTTTGGCAACTAATTTTTTTTTAATTGCCAATTTTGGTCACTGAAGGTGCATGTTGTTGTAGTGAGTGATTCTAGCGAACCTAAATAATTTATTAATTTTTTTATCAAACTTCTTACATAGGTGTGGGATCCATACACATGTAGATTTGTGTAAGTCCCACATCCATATGAGAGGTTTGGTAAAAAATTTGATAGATTATTTGAGATTCATAGTATTTTTCAATTGAATGCTGCTATTAGCACCTGTCAAAATTCTTTGGACCCCCCATTTTATAATTTTTTTTATTACAATTATATCCTAAAGTAAAATTACATTAAAAGACATTATTAAATGGAACACCTACCTATCAATAAGAACTAATACTCTATAATATTGGACACTCACCCCCACCTCCACCCACACTCTCACCTCCAACTCCAACTATACGTATTTCATGTCCTAAACCTATTACTTTTCATAACCAACTAATATAAATCCTAAATCTATTATTTTTCATAATTATCTTAAATCTTGAATGTGTCATCTTTATCACCATCATCAACGCTATTGAACTTGAAAGTTTTGCTTCAAGTATAACGTATACTTCATCACTTATTTCACTGTGTAGAGCAATGGAGGACGAGGACAACAATTCTAGTGAGACCGGCGTTCCATTAATAAGTTTATCTGTCTTGTATTAACAGTCTCGGTCGTTTTCGGTCGTTCTTGTTTCGTTCGAGCTGTTCGGTACTGGTTTGCTGACTGTTAGAATTATGTTTGGTAATACAGTATTGAAAATAATCCTTTCGTTCAATACATAGGTTCCGAACATAAATGCAGATAGTTAGTTATGTAATTTTCTTTGTTAAACTAACTTAGAATGAAAAATAGTGAATTGGAATGGATTTAAGTTATGTATTTTGAATGGATTTAATTCATGTTATTTTAAGTTGTAAATTGGAATGGATTCAAGTTACATAGTGATGAACAAATTTTGTTCGGACATACAGTGCTGACAGAATCATTATTGTTCGACAAAATAGTTCTGAACAAAATACATTTTTTCGGCTACACAATGGTGAACAAATTGTTTTGGGCTACATTCAAAATTCTGATGGCGATACATTCAGAATTCTGATGATGATGGATTCTTTTGGAAGCGCCGATACAGAAGCAATGGGCGTCCAACACCGCCCACTGTACGCTTATCTTGATGATGATGATGATGATGAATGTGATTGAATTTTTTTTATAGGTTTTGATAATAATGGCACACTAAGAATTCGCATATCTGGACTGAAAATTAAACAAGTAGACGATGATGATGAACAGGCCATGGCCATGGCTATTATGTCTTCTTTTCTTTCAGTCACTGTGAACAACCCAACATGCAATAACGTCCGAGTATCATCTGTTTTCTTCTTTTCTTTTTCATTAGGGTTTTTTTAGGAATTGGATGAAAAATTAGGTGAGTGTGTATTTCATTGTGAAAATGTTATGAATATGGGTAGATTTGGTAATAAGTGGGGTGTCCAAAAAAATATTATTAAAATTTAGGATTTAGGGTTGGGGTCCAAAGAAATTGGGGGTCCAAAAAATTTTGATAGGTGCGATTAGCAGCACTCTTATTTTTTTAAATACCAATTTTGCCCTCATTAGGTAAATTACATTGACACCCCTCACATTTTAGAAATTGCAATCCCCTCCCCAAGGTTTAAAGTAGCATTACCAATTGCCCCCTCGGTTAGTATTAGTTGAAAAAAAAAATCATTAAAAAAAAATTAATAGGAAAAAAAATTTAATTGAAAAAAAATTTTGTTAGTAAAATTTTTAAATTTTTGTTTAAAAATCAACATAAACTCATTTTTTGAATTTATGTTTTTTTCTCAAATTTACATACTGAGATAACCATTTATAAAGTAAAAAAATTATCAAACAAGTTTTTATGACATTTTTAATTTTTTTTGTAAATATAAATTAAAAATTGAAAACGAAATGGTCACTATACAGGCTTCAGATGGTAAAAATGTGGTAAAATTAACAAATAATTAAATAAGTTATCAACATAAGAAATGACTTATTAAAATATTCTTAGGTTATGTATGGTTTGATTTTTAGAATTTTTTTTTAAAAAATTAAAAATTAATTTGGTTAAGAAATAAAAAATAAAAAATAATTATCATTTAAGGGTAAAAAATAATTATCATTTTAACTTTTAGGCAGGTTATATACATACGTATGACTGTTTCAATTTAATTTGTAAAAAAATATTTCTAACCACTCGAAAGATAAAAGTTATATAAAAATGATAATTATTTTTTATTTTTTATTTCTTAACCAAAATAATTTTTATTTATTTTTAAAAAAATTCTAAAAATCAAACCATACATAGCCTAAGAATCTTTTGATAAGTAATTTCTTATGTTGGTAACTTATTTAATTATTTGTAAATTTTACGATATTTTTACTATCTGAAGCCTGTTAGGTAACCATTTTGTTTTCAGTTTTCAATTTTCAATTTATATTTACAAAAATTTAAAAAAATGTTATAAAAACTTGTTTGATAATTTTTTTTGATTTATAAATGGTTGTCTCAGTTTGTAAATTTGAGGAAAAAACGTAAATTCAAAAAATGAGCTTACGTTAGTTTTTAAACAGAAATTGAAAATTTTACTAACAAAATTTTTTTTCAAATAATTTTTTTTCCAACTAATATTAACCGAGGGGGCAATTGGTAATGCTACTTTAAACCTTAGGGAGGGGATTGTAATTTCTAAAATATGAGGGATGTCAATGTAATTTACTCAATGAGGGCAAATTTGGTATTTAAAAAAAATAAATTGCTGAAGGGGGAATCTGTAATGAAACTTTAAACCTCAGGGGGAGATGTAATTTCTAAAAGGTGAGGAGGGAAATTGTAATAAACCTAAACCTCAAGGGGTGTCAGTGTAATTTATCCATATTTTAAATTTAAAAAAAAATAATTACAAATCTTAGATAATGCAATGGAGGTTTTCCATTACAATTTTGAAATAGAGAGGATCATAATCTAAATTGATCATACTATTTTGGCAACATGGTTTGGCAACAAACAACTAAAAGTATTTGTTAATTTATTACAAGTTATCACATCACTTCTCTATTTTTCTGCATATTATTTTATAAAATTTAATAAGTCAAAAAAATAAACTAAAGAATAAATAATTACAAAAAAGATGATTTTTTTTAATAAAATAACTACAATACCCTTTCTCTGATTTTTTTTATTATTCTAAAAAAAAAAAACAATTTAGAGGATTGACCAACTTTTCAAACTATTTGGGAAACTAATCTGCTTTTTGAAATCGCATTTTGAAAATACGATTTTGAAATTAAAATTGCATTTTCAACATGCAATTTTACTTGGAAATCGCATGTTAAAAATGCAATATATCTTAGTGAAGTACATGTCATCATAAATTGTATTTTTAACATGCGATTTCAAAGTAATATTGCATGTTAAAAATGTAATTTCAATTTAAAATTACATTTTCAAAATGCGATTTTAAAAAATAAATTAATTTCCCAAATAATTTGAAAAGTGAGTAAATTCTCTAGATTATTTTTTTTTTATAAAATATTTATTAAAAAAAAATCCCTTTTTTCCTCCATCTCTTCCTTTATCTTTTTGAAAACCCTCACCATTTGCAAATAACACCACTAGCCAACACCACCCCCTCCTCCTAGTGGTTCGTGCAACTATGAAGAGAAAATTTAATGAAGGTAAGATGTCTATAATTGAATGGAAAAAAAGCATGTAATGAATGTACACTCAACCCTCCTTAAACAATGTCATAATAATTTTAATTGATAAGATGTTGCTAAAAACCACGCCAAAGTGTGGTCTATAACTGCATCTCTTAAACGTGACATCTTTTTAAACGTTATTTTAAACCATTTTTCTTACAATGTCAGTAAACTTCATATTATACAATGTTTCTTTTTGCACATGACTTATCTGGTAGAGTCTAAATTGGTTGTGAGAGAAGTCATGAAACCCATAGTCGACTGTGGGACACAATGTAACATCTTATCTCAGATTGGTTGAGAATGTAACATCTTATCTCACATCGATTCGATAGAAAGTGATGCAAACTCACTTTTCTAGTAACACTCCCTTTTAAAGCTGCAAGGGTGTAATGCCAAGCAATACAATATTGTCGCGATTTGGGATACAAGTGTCAAAACTGGTCTCAAACTAGGATCTATCTTCAGCTATGTGGGCAATACATCCTTTTGAATCCCATGAGTAGGAGCGGAAGCATGTGCTGGATAGAAAAAAAGTTGCAACATAGGGGTGTCTTATATACTCAAGATCATCCTAGCAAACTTTTGATGTGAGATGAGATCATTACACACAACACTGTGAGTTCCACAGTTTTTTCTGTGACTGGAGACGAGTTGGACCCCCATATTTTTGTGGCGATGTATGACTTCTCCCATCTAGAGCCGTTGTTCTTTTCAATATATGTTTTGTTCCAAGTCAAGTATAGTTTTTTCTGGGGATTGTTGGTCAGGTTGTCGATTCACTCTCTGAATATATATATATATATACATGGTTAGTCTCATCTACCCACCATAAAAAAAATAAAAAAGTCTCATCTCACAGAGAACATGTACATATGGTAACAAGAAGCATTCATGGATTTTGAACCACTTGCCAACATAGATAAAACCAAAATGAATAGAATTAACAATCAAACACAAAGAACAAAAATGTAAGGCCACACCTTGGATCAACCAAATACCAGTTATACTCCTTCCAACACTTGAGACTCAAAAACCATGACATAACATTCATACAAAGATGCTTCTAACTTGTTTACTCAACATCAAACCCTTTCTCTTGCAGCTCCGAAAGGACTTCATTTCTCATCCTAATCCACAGCTTCAGAGCTTCTTGCTCGAACTTCTTGTCCTGCAACTCCTTCTGATAATTGTACGAGTCTTTATCCGATTCGATGACACCTTTTGGACCAATTGTCGTGCCGATCATGCCACCCTTGGCAACAAACTCCTTCATTGCCTCCTCGTCGCCAGGGTATGGAAACTTCCGCTGCTCGTACAGGTGGGCCAACTCTCTCTCCTCCTTGGGCTTTGGCTTCAGTGTCCACCAACCCAATGGCGATGTTTCGTTGTAGAGCCACGCAACACCGAACAGAGTGTACGTGCATAGCAAAGCTTTGCCCACTTGCTTCCAGAAGTGATGGTCTTCCTTTCCTAAACCAATCTTCTTCAAAAACTTATCGGAATCGAACGATTTGGCGAATAGTAGCCCTGCAAAAGAGTAATATATGAGTTTGTGTGTGCGTAATTGTTTTTCTTCGACATTTTGTCGAACAGTTTATAGGCAATGTTGATAAACTACAGTCACATTTCAAAGAAGATGGGATCGAATACACGGTCATCAGATTTTTCAATGGGACTGAAATCTAATTCAGAAAACTGGGTCGTCGAATTCATCCCCAATTTTGATGACAAAAAAAAAAAAAAAAAAAAATTCTTGTTTCGGGGTCCGAGTGGGGATGATTTAAAATTCACTGATAATGGAGATGATGATGATGAATATTGAAGATCTTACCTGTTTTGGCTTCTTGAAATCGTTTGCGAACCATTGACAAGTGCGAAAGGATGATACTATGTTTGACGAAGGAAGTGGTGAATTCGGTCGGTGTATGCGAAATTAGCCCATAAACATGAGTCCGGACCAAAGATAAGGTTTTAAGTTTTTGTTATAAAGTTTAGGGTTGGTTTGACATGTTTAAAAAAAATTTAAAAGTTAAAAAGTTAAAAAGTTACTGTATTATTTAAATTATATCATCTTATTTAAGTCACATTATTTCTTTGATACATTACTTCAAACCCAACTCATATTTCATAAAAATTCAAAAAATGTACTTATTTAAATCATTCCAAACAATCTTTGCCCAAAAAAAAAAGTTTAGTATTATGAATAATAATTTCTAAATGATGGTAGCTGAAAGATTTAAAATATAAAATAAATAAGTAAAAATGAATATTAAGAGTAGTATTTTAAGGTTTTAATTATTTTTAATTTAAAAAAATCGAATCATATAATATATATGAAATAAATATGACAGTTGTTCTCATTCCGCTTCTGTATTATGGTTGGAAAAATACACGCGAGGGATGTGGTGAAATTGCCATCCTTAGGCACAATAATGACTTGTGTGTTTTGAATATGTAATAATTGTTTTTATTGGTTGAGAAGACAAAAAAAAATCTAAACGATCCATCAACAAATATTATTGCATACGGTGATTGAAAGCATTTTTTCAATACAACTTTGAGCCACAATCTGACCTAATCTCACCAAGAGTGTAATGGCAAAGAATTAATATCCCATAATTGATGCACATAAGCGTCACTCCTAGTCATCCTAAAGACTAGAGCTCATATCCTCTCGGTCACTCTACCACGTGAGAGTAAACTCCCAACACTCTTGATACAAATATAAGATTTTTTAAATGTAAAATTGACATTTTTATTTTTATTTTTATTTTTAAATACAAACAAAATTATTGGACAAATTATTTCCATTCTAGCTAGTATACCGAAGCGTATAAATATAGAAATGATTGAAACCCGATTTGAAAACCATAAAAATCTAATATGTATCAGCTAATATTAAACACACTACTAACACAACCACATAGAATGTGCTGTGATTTTCTTTACATACTGTATAGCATATGATATTTGAAAGCAGACTGTATTTACACAAACCTTTAGCTAGAATCACAGTAGTAAAAGCCAAGAAAACAAAAAAGAAAATTTCACAACTATATGTATATTGCTTACAACACACTGGCACTCCATTTTCAACAATGCTACGAAATCAGAAAAAGTAGTCCATAAATGAAGTATAGACTAGATTCATTCTGGGTATAACTTACATCACCTAAAATTTCAATTTACACCAAATATTTTATTTTGAGACTACTTTTCATCTGAACGGACAGTCCCCACCGGCCTTTTGTAGGTGTACCACTTTGCCACCAAGAGATAAACTCCCAAATTGAGCACACTCAACACGGCCAAAAGCCAGAAAAAGTAATCAAGGTGACCACGGTTGAGATTGTCTGGTATCCACCCAAGACTCCCATTCCTAGTACTAATAGAGGTCACAATAGTCACCAAAAGAGAGCTCAAGTAGTTCCCTAGTGCAACTGTGGTGAGCCATAGAGCAGTGCAGAGACTTCTCATGGCATCGGGTGCTTGCTCATAGAAGAACTCCAACTGCCCAATGAATGTGAACACCTCCGCGCACCCAACAAGGAAATATTGTGGAACTTGCCAAAAAATTGACATGGGCATCTCCAGGAGATCATAGTAGTTGTTCTTTTTCACTATTTTAAGCCTAATAAGCTCCAAAATCCCCGCGGATAACATGGAAAAGATTGATATGACGAGGCCTATGCCTATTCGCTGGAGCTGTGTCAGGCCACTTTTGTGTCCTGTGTATTTTCTAGCCACTGGGACGATAATTCGATCATAGACTGGGACCCAAAAGAGGACACTGAGGGTGTCAAAAATGCCTAGTGAGGCAGGTGGGATCTTGAAGCTGCTTTTGCCAACATGAGTGTTCATTCTCTCTCCTTGCAACACGAAGAAATTGCCCATTTGGTTGTAGACCGTGGAGAAGAGGATGCCGGTTGCCCATATAGGAAGCAATCGCACGATGGCTTTGAGCTCCTCAACTTGTGTCACTGTGCAGAGTCTCCATGGGTCCGGTGAGCTATTTCTATGATCTGATTGTATCTCCACAGCCGCCTTATCAAAGAAACTGCACAAAAAAACATTGGGTAATAATTGGAAAATGAAATAGAAAAAGAAATATTGAACTGTTCCTACATTTCAGTTTACTGTCAAGATGTTTGGAAATTCTATGGAGATTACTGAACCATTCCCACATTTAAGTTGCCGCCCTTGACTGTGTTTTGCATTCATGGTTTTCAAAACAAGTTTTATAGCCTTTTGCAAGGTTACTTGGAATATGACACTTCTCTGATCAAAACCATGACAGTCCTTCAAATTTTTGTCATCATTTTCATGATAAGCTCAACTTCAACATTGAATTTCAATTCCAAATATCACTCATGAATGATTGTCGAGCTATTTGGAAATTCTATGGAGATTATATTAAGTTCCCGCCCTTGACTGTGTTTCACAGTTATCGTTTTCAAAACAAATATTATAGCCCTTCGCACAGTTTATTACAATATGACACTTTCTCAAGTCAAAACCATGACCGTACAATTTTTTGTCATCATTTTCGTGTAATTTTAACTTCTGCTTTGAAAATCAATTCCAAATGTCACTCAGGAGATACTAAATTATGACATAGCTATTGAATGATTTAGAAACCTTGTTAAACCAAAAAGAGGAAACATTTTAGATGTCTTTGCATTTTGAAAGAAATCAAGCAAAACCACATTCATCAATTCAAAATTCAAACACTTACCCAAGATCTTTTGTGTGATCAAGCTTGCGGCTTCCTTCTATACTAGCAGACTCTCCATCTTTAGTCTCATACAAAAGAGCCTTATCTTCTGGCACTTTAACCCGATATTTCATCAACGATGCTACAATCACCTGACATATGCGTGTCAGAGGGCTTCCCCCAGGCTTCTGGTTCCTATATAAGCGGGTCCCAGAAAAGAAACTCGCCACAGCAATCGCCATGGTCACCGCTGGAATGCCAAAACCCCATCCCCAACCCACATTGTCTTGTATGTAGACCAGCACAGAAGAGGCAATGAGTGCACCAACGTTGATTGAAAAGTAGAACCAATTGAAGAAAGAGCTCTTGTGCTTCTTCTCGGTCTCATCAGCATCATCGAACTGATCTGCACCGTAGGATGAGACACATGGCTTAATCCCACCGGTCCCCAGTGCTATCAGGTAAAGTGCAACGAAAACAACTGCGCTCTGTGCATGTGTTGGGTGGCAATCATCTTTTGCGTAACAAGTCGGCTTTAGGCCGTGCACTGTCGCTGACAATGTCAACAGTGTCATTCCCTAGATGCATTTGAAACATATTCAGTTTTTCACAGCAAAAAGCAAATCAATTCAAACTAAAATGTTTCAAAACCAACATAAAACCTAGTCAAATAAGTTCACCGGGTTGATAAGCATAGATGAAATTCAACAAACCAGACTTACAAAGACATAGATGATTGAGAAGCAGGCAATGGTCCAATATCTTCCTAGATAGGCATCGGCAACAAATGCACCAATCAGCGGTGTGATGTAGCATGTCCCGGACCAATCTGATTGATTTTTGGAAGCAGTTGCACTCGGCTGGTTGAGTTGATGCTTGAAATAAAGCACCAAATTGGAGCTCATTCCATAGTATGCTAATCTTTCACAACATTCATTCCCTGTACATAAACAAAAAAATCAAATAAAAAATTCTTCAAAATTATCAATTTCTGGTAACATGAATAATCAATGGAAAACATAAAATACCTAGGATGTAAGGGCAGGCTTTCCAGGTTCCTGTTTTCTTCTTATTGGCCGGATTACCACGGTAATCTACGGTCCCATCTTTTGTATAGTTATCTTCTTCTTCCATGGCTTTTTTCTACAAACTGGTGTTTGATTGTCTAGGGATTGCCTCCGTTTGGGAATTTAATCAAACACTGATGGAGCTCAAAAAATGTGCCAAAACTGCAATGAACGGAGCAATTGGGAATGGTTTGTAAGTTGAACAACTACAATGGACAGCTTAGCAAGATAAGCGAACATAAGTCAATTCATTAGAAATCCAATTCTACAAATTTTATTTTCTTTTCTTTTCTTTTTCATTACGAGTCTAGAACTAGCTGGTTGCCAAGCAGATATAGGGTTCGAATAAAAAAGTTCTGGTGATTTTGCAATGATTCCCAATTTTCTTTTTCAATCATATGCCATCTACCTAAGAAACATACAATATTAGAAGCAGTGAAATCAAACCATGAAACCTGACTTCACTCTCACCTAATGTGCTTGGTTCATTTGGAGTGAGATTTGGAAAGAGAAAGGAAAAAGGCCCTCAAATCTATGAACCAAACAGAGTCCCAAACTTATCAAACTGTCAACAAAAACTTTCCACCAGCAAACAATTGTTTTGAATCTTGGATTTGTGAAAGGAATACAACAGGAAAGGAAGGGCAAAAGAGAAACGAAAATTTTTATTTTCAATCCACAAATCACTCTATAAATCCACGATCCAAATACACGCTGGTTGGGAGATTTGAGAAGGAAATTGGAAACGGAAAAAAAGAAAAAAAAAAGTGAAATATGAACATAGTTTCACATACTTTTTCCATTTTTCTTTCCAAATTACCAACCAAACACAGTATAAAGAAAATCTTCTGAAAATTAACAATACAAACCATTTTAGCAGGTAGAAATGAAAATTTTTTGTTTCTCATTTCATTGGACTTGGAAACTAAAATTAAGGAATAAATAAGCAAGTAGATAAACAAATAAAGGACAAAATACTATATATATATATATATTTTGAATGTGATACATACTTGAGAAATTTAAGCAATACCCAGAAAGCAGTTTAGGCTCATGAACAGATCTCAAGGAGATGAGAGCAGCAAAAGAGGATTCACTCAAGTGAACAGTGAAACACAGTGGGCATTGCTCACATAACTCAAATACTGTGAGTGATATTTCGTTTTGGGGTCTTTTTGATTTAATATAAATAGATGATAATGCAAATGATGA